AACTGAACCACACCCCTCAGACCTTAACCTAGGAAACACAGATCTGTCCAAAGTAGTAACTGAACCACACACCTCAGACCTTAACCTAGGAAACACAGATCTGTCCAAAGTAGTAACTGAACCACACACCTCAGACCTTAACCTAGGAAACACAGATCTGTTCAAAGTAGTAACTGAACCACACACCTCAGACCTTAACCTAAGAAACACAGATCTGTCCCAAGTAGTAACTGAACCACACACCTCAGACCTTAACCTAGGAAACACAGATCTGTCCCAAGTAGTAACTGAACCACACACCTCAGACCTTAACCTAGGAAACACAGATCTGTCTGGAGTAGTAACTGAACCACACACCTCAGACCTTAACCTAGGAAACACAGATCTGTCTGGAGTAGTAACTGAACCACACACCTCAGACCTTAACCTAGGAAACACAGATCTGTCCAAAGTAGTAACTGAACCACACACCTCAGACCTTAACCTAGGAAACACAGATCTGTCCCAAGTAGTAACTGAACCACACACCTCAGACCTTAACCTAGGAAACACAGATCTGTCCCAAGTAGTAACTGAACCACACACCTCAGACCTTAACCTAGGAAACACAGATCTGTTCAAAGTAGTAACTGAACCACACACCTCAGACCTTAACCTAGGAAACACAGATCTGTTCAAAGTAGTAACTGAACCACACACCCTGGATAATCATCTGACCAGAGGAGTGATTGAACTACACACCTCGGACCTTCACCCGAGAAACGAAGACCTGACCAGACTAGTAATTGAACAACACAGCTTGGACATTTATTAGAGAAACACAGACCTGACCAGACTAGTAATTGAACAACACAGCTCAGACATTTATTAGAGAAACACAGACCTGACCAGACTAGTAATTGAACAACACACCTCAAACATTTATTAGAGAAACACAGACCTGCCCAGAGAAGTGATTAAACAACACACATGGGATCTTCACTCGCGATGCACAGACCTGACCAGAGAAGTGACTGAACCACATATTTTGGATTTTCAACTGAAAAACACAGACCTGACCAGAGAAGTGACTGAACCACATATTTCGGATTTTCATCTAAGAAAAACAGACCTGACCAGAGAATTGACTCAACCCCACAACTCAGACCTTCACCTGAGAAATACATACCTGGCCGAAGTAGTGGCTGAATGACACATCTCCAACCTTTACCTGAGAAACAAAGACCAGGCCAGACAGGTGTTTTAACGAGACACTTCCGACCTTCACCACAGGCGGCATTATTCCTACATTTTAATGACTGTGCTATTGAGAACCATTATCTACTTCCATTAACAATCAACAAAGTGTAGCAGGTGATATATTTATTTCCTCAGTTTTCTATATAGGCATGTCCTACATCTGTTGTACACAAGCAAGGTCATGGTAATTGAATAAATACATAATAATCACAGAAAAGAGAGATAAATAAGACTAGAAAACACATAATATTACATAAAAGTAAAAATACAGCTAGAAATCTTACATTCGTTCTCCAAGCATCCTTGTTATCACTATTTGATATCATGTAAATGATAAATCTAATACAGCTAAATCAAGTTGATTTAAGTGATCCATGACTGAAAAATCATCATATCTTTACCTTGTTCTATATTCCTTCCTTATTTTGACAATTTTATATTCTCATCAATATTCTACTTGGATAACCACTTCTGCTAAATCTAATAATAAACATAATTACCCATACCTTCACAACAGAAAACTTATATCAAATCAATCCTTAATTCTATAAATAGTCTTTTTCAGTCTAGTGATTTATCATATGGATATTACAACGTACCATACAATGCAATGGATATAAAAACAAGACATATGAAAAAATAAATCCTTGCTATCCATGCTGTTTTGTCAAAATTCCAATAAAAACTGAAAAAGAAGCTGTCAAAATAAAATTTGTATATAATTTTTGTTCAAAAGGCAAGTTACTTCATGAAAGCTGTCTTGAGTGTTGATACATAATCAAAAAAACTTTAGAGGTAAGTGAGAATATCTGTAGACAATATAACCACCGAACTGAACATGGTTTACCTGTTAACATCACAGCTGAGTACATAAACAATCTCATTTACAGCATTTAAAAGAACCAACTGATTTACATTGATAGTCAATTGATACAAAGTCAAAAAGACCAACTTTATAGGATTAACACCAGTCAAACTATACCTGATATAATATAATAGATAAAACAATATATTAAAACACAATTACAAATATAATATTACTAGTAATACTTTGTTCAAACTAAATATCACAAAGGTTTCATTTAAACCCATACTCACAACAGCTATGACACAGAAGCTTTTTAGTCAATTAGTCCATAAGTAATGCCATGTCACAAAATTTCATCCTAACATCATTTATTGTAATCTAGTGTTTAAGAAGACTCAAAGAGGAGAGCAGTATACCTTTGGGTATATGACCTGCAGGGGACACAACTCTAGCTGCTTTTATACACGGCATACAGGGGAAAGAACTCTAATTTGTTTTACAAGACCTTGCAGGGGACAACTCTTATCCTTGTTTAACATGACCGAAGGGGTGATCACCCTAGCTTTATTTGACAAGAATTAAAGGGTATAGCACTTTATCCAAATTGATAGGGAAGGGAAAGCACTCTAGCTTTCTTTTACAAGACTTAAAGATGTGGGTGGAAACCTTCAATATTGTTTTACATAAATTGAAGAGGACATGGAACACAGAACACTCTTGAACCTTGGAATTTTGGCAAAGTCACATCAATATTAATACTTTTTTTTTTGTGCTGATAAATACAATTAAATGATCAGCTCCATCCTCGATTGTAAAGTTTAAATGTATGTGGAATTTTGTTTTCATCTACTTTTAGTCCTATCTATATTTTAGTCATAAAATTACATCTTTCATTATTGTAACAAAGACAATCAGACACTACCCCTAATAGATGTTTAATACACTGCACAAATTCCTGAACACATTATTCTGACTTGGTCGAACAGGAGTTTATAAATAAATTGAGACTGTTGCAATTCAAATGTTTAAAATGTATAAAAAAATGTCCTTGTTTTGCTATAAAATCAGTAAGACTGATCCTTCCAAAACATATTTTCTTCACTTTAAAATTTTCAGAAATTTGTTGAAACACTTGATACATGATATTGTAAATATTCTGCATTTGAGGACTTCTATCTTTGAATAACCACTTTACTTAGATGAAAAACTATTATCAGAAGCTGTCAAATTAAAAATATAATTGTCATCATTGACATCAGGTTTACTGAATTTCAAACCAAGAAGTGCCTAGGAATTTATGACGGCAGTATTTTGCAAAGTATCTACTGGCCGGAAGACAAATGTACGTATACATTACAAATTAAGAGACAATTTGCATCATTTAAACAATACAAGTCTATCAATTCTATATCAAGGTCTGTACTCCAGAGAGGTTTTATTTCTTCATCACACTCTTTTGAAATTTTATAATCTCCTGCCAGTCAGAAAATCCTTCGTACAAAATACTGTAAGCTAGGTTTTGTTTGTACATAAACAATAAACAGAGGTCTCAAGAATATAGGAGAATTATATAGGCTATTTAGCTAGTAAAACTAAATCTCATAAGCAACAACATTCATATCTAATGAACACAAGCAATACACTACAAAATAATCAATTGTCAATCATAACGTTCAGCCCATTAAAATATAAATTTTTATGGAAATGAAAATAATGTCCTAATCCATTCATAGAGAGATTGTGTTTGACCTGGAAATTCTTGGAGAAACAATGAGAGATTACAATTTTAGAATATGTAAACTTTTTATGATAACATGGAATGTTCACATGAAATAATCCCTTTTACATGACAATGTTAACACTATTACTTTTACATGACAATGTTAACACTGTTACTTTTACATGACAATGTTAACACTGTTACTTTTACACAACAATGTTAACACTATTACTTTTACATGACAATGTTAACACTATTACTTTTACACAACAATGTTAACACTGTTACTTTTACACAACAATGTTAACACTTACTTTTACACAACAATGTTAACACTGTTACTTTTACACAACAATGTTAACACTGTTACTTTTACACAACAATGTTAACACTCTTACTTTTACACAACGATGTTAACACTATTACTTTTACATGACAATGTTAACACTGTTACTTTTACATGACAATGTTAACACTGACAATGTTAACACTATTACTTTTACATGACACTGTTACTTTTACACAACAATGTTAACACTGTTACTTTTACACGACAATGTTAACACTATTACTTTTACACGACAATGTTAACACTATTACTTTTACACGACAATGTTAACACTGTTACTTTTACACGACAATGTTAACACTATTACTTTTACACGTTACTTTTACACAACAATGTTAACACTATTACTTTTACATGACAATGTTAACACTATTACTTTTACACAACAATGTTAACACTATTACTTTTACATGACAATGTTAACACTATTACTTTTACACAACAATGTTAACACTGTTACTTTTACACAACAATGTTAACACTGTTACTTTTACACGACAATGTTAACACTGACAATGTTAACACGCTTACTTTTACATGTCAATGTTAACACTATTACTTTTACACAACAATGTTAACACTATTACTTTTACATGACAATGTTAACACTGACAATGTTAACACTATTACTTTTACATGACAATGTTAACACTTACAATGTTGACACTGTTACTTTTACACAACAATGTTAACACTGTTACTTTTACACAACGTTAACACTCTTACTTTTACATGACAATGTTAACACTGTTACTTTTACATGACAATGTTAACACTGACAACGTTAACACTATTACTTTTACATGACAATGTTAACACTATTACTTTTACATGACAATGTTAACACTGACAATGTTAACACTATTACTTTTATATGACAATGCTGACACTATTACTTTTACACAAAAATGTTAACACCATTACTTCTACATGACATTGTTAACACTGACAATGTTAACACTATTACTTTTACATGACAATGTTAACACTTTGAAATGTCCTTTTTATGATAGTCTTTGTTAAGAATAGCGACTCTCCTTCCTTTTGTAACATTACTTTTAAACATCTTCTATCATTACCACACTGAGTATTTTTAACATTGTTGGATTTCATGTTGGCTATTAATACTTTGGAAATCAATACATAAGCACCTAACAGTTCAGTGTTCTTTAACACTGAAACTAAATGTCTTTAAGTACAAGCAATAATCTTCAGAAAAGTACATATTAATTTACTTTAGAGGTCATTAAGTGCTAACTTATGTCATTAAATAATTTCATTAGAGGTCAATAAGTACAAGCAATTCTGACCATAATATTACAAGTCAATAAGTTTAAAATATTAAGTATGCTTTTGAGGTATAGTAGATCATATAGAATAGATAAAAACTTATTTGTTGCTTAAACATTGAACGCAAAATATATCCACCGGATATCAAAAAGTTTCAATTGATTATAACAATATCTATACCTGGTGAAAAAATTTGCCGTAACAATAATCCTAACCTCTCAACCAACAACGATATGAAGCACTTTTCAAAGCACATATTTCACAATTTTTTACAGGCAATGATACAAGAAAAATTAATTATAAACTCATCAATATATATATGCTTTGATCAAAGAAAAACACAATAAAAATAGATTGATTATCAGAAATAATAAGTTTCATAATAATTTCGGTTGAAATGTTCCAAAGAATTTGTTAAATAGCTAGTAGGTCTATCAATTGTATTTCCAGATTGCTTCAACACCAGTGATGTTGTTACCCTGTACAATGAAGCAGATTATATAGGATATATTAGTCCCAGTGAGTAGAAAGGAATTTAGGAGATGTTGTAACTTTGGAGACTAAGGTCAACCTCACAGTATAAAATCATTTCTGATCTACATTAAAGCTGTACAATCTGTCAATACAGTATGCAAATATTTACTAGGTTTTTTTCCGAAGCACCATTCACTTAAAGTTTCAATCACTGTTTTAGTATGGTATCTGATTCTGTAGGTACTGTATCCTGTCATAGGAGCTCGCCCTCCAACTCAGGTAACACTTCTCCACCACCTTGAGCATGTAGTTGGCAGCCTCTGGTTCTGAGGCATTGGGTCGGAATCGTGACCTCAGTTGTTTGATGGTCTGACCTCTGAAGCAAGGCAATCCAGTGTCCAACATCAGTGAAACAAGGGAGACAATCTCTTCCTGATAGGGCCTTCAATAAAAACAACTTTAATTAATCATCTTAATTTTGTCAAAAGCATGCAAATTGTATAAACAACACCACAGCTAAAATATAACGTCACTTCTTCAAGAACCCCAGATTTGATGAATTCAATATTTCATTACATGTAATTTTCTTCTGTTTTGATAAAAAATGTTTCAACAAACAACATTCTCAAGATGATTCCTACAGGTATAAGGAGTTTTTGTTCACACCTCATTACATTAGCAGATTTTCAAACTCTTATTTCTGAAGTTACATTTCTCTGCAGCAGTTTCCACCCTGATTCGAGGGTGGAACTCTAAATGTACTGGAAATCATCTAAAACAATTAAGGATGTTGACAGCTACTGATACACTTAATATTTGATGATATATTAGTTCATTCATCAACACAGTTTTGTATGACAACACCAAAATATGATTAAAAAGCCATAACGAGAGGCCCATGGGCCTTAACGGTCATCTGACAAAAAGCAAGCCAAACCTAGAAAGTGGGTTGAGGTCATTCATTTGAACAAACTTGGTAGCCTCTCCTCCAAGCATCTTACAGGCCCAATATCAGCACTCATGGACTTTTGCTTGTTGAGAAGAAGTCGTTTGTATATTTTAACATATTTGACCCCTGTGACCTTGAAAGTGGGTTGAGGTCATTCATTTGAATAAAATTGGTAGCCTTTCCTCCCAGCATGCTACAGACCCAATATCGGCACTCATAGACTTTTGCTTATTGAGATGAAGTCCTTTGTATATTTTAACATATTTGACCCCTGTGACCTTGAACGTGGGTCAAGGTCATTCACTTGAACAAACTTATTAGCACTTCATCCCAGCATGTCACAGGCCCAATATCTACACTCTGAGCCTTTTGGTTAATGAGAAGAAGTTGTTTAAAGATTTTAACATATTTGACCCCTGTGACCTTTAAAGTGGGTCAAGGTCATTCATTTGAACAAACTTGGTAGAGCTCCATGCCAGTATCCTCTGTGCCAAGTATTAGCCCCCTAGACCTTCTAGTATTTGCGAAGAAGTTGTTTGAATGAAAAGTTTACGCACGGCGGACGGCGCACGACGACGGACGAAGCACGATGGCTATAGGTCATCTTGACCCTTTGGGTCAGATGACCTAAAATGTCACTTCCATTCTCCCGTATAAATTCTCTAGGTCATTGAAACTATATAGCCACTTCAGTTAGTACAAAATATTAATCGAAAAAGAAACGGAATGTACAGACACATGGTTGGTTTGATTTGCATATCAGCCCACTTGTTCTGTGTTATAGTAACACTGACTTTGGATAAATCAGAAGTGATCCTTTAAAAAACAAATATTTATCTATGAGTGAAACTACGTTGAAAAACCTACAAACAATAATTGGCTGTTTTTTAAATTTATATACGGACCACAGTAATGGCAACGCCCATTTGATATCAGGTAGGCATCATGTGAACATTGCGAATTCTCATTAGGTTTTGACCAGCTTTGATGTGCTTTGTCAAGGCAAAATAAAAAATCACCTGTGGATATTAGCGGTCATGTGGCACCTTTAAAAAGTTTTTCACCACAATGAACCTCAACCATTGAGTAGACCAAAACCAAATTGAATACTAACTTAAAGCATATGTTCTATCAACATACATTTACACATGTCTAGCCAATTTATTTACTGATCACTAGGCCTTTTCTTTCGTTCAGCACCACCTACTTCTCTCTCAACCCCTACATTCACTACCAAAGCTACATATCTTTGAGATGTACCTGACTGCCAAATATCCTTGAACGCAAAGCTCCATGAACCACTGGAAGGGTGCAGCTTCCATGGTTCCACCCATGATTAGCACCATTTCCTCTGTGAGCTTGAAGTCAGGCTCCCAGCCTAGGTTGCCCCCTGGTGAGCTTTCAAACAGGAAGCCAAAGTCTGCAGGCAAAAGTATATTACAACTTTAATTTTCACCATCATAGAAGTTTACTGTAACACAGGTACTCATCTACTGTCACAATACTACGACAAAACAATATACATCCTAGGATAGAATCACAAACCTCTCCATCTCACTTCATTCTGAACATATCAGTTTAATGGGAACAAACTTTTGATCTACTAGAAATTTGGACAAAAAGATATCTGTGAGGGCTATGGTCAGCTTAGAAATACATATGTACTATCAGCAGTTTCACAAATTAATCAGACATGTAAGGGTCAATAACAGTAAGTAGATGTAAAGTTCCCAAACAATGAATTACACTTTCAGGTAAAACACTTTTAAAATGTTTTTTCTAATAAGAATTGTATAAGTGTTTCCTTCTGCAACTATATTTTCATTTTATTATTAAATTGTACATAACTATCATCTTACCACCACAAACTGGACATCAGAGCAAAAAGAAGTACCTGATAAACTAATTAGCATATTCAGCATTTTGTCTTTAGTGTCTGTTAACCACACCAAACTCGAGTCTACCCCGTATTTGAACTGTACTACCTTCTGATCACCAGACATAATAGGTTATAAAGTTTAATACTAGAAAGATTTATCAATATAATGTGACCACAATTGTTTAACATTAGAAATATTAACCTGTATAATGTGACCACAACTGTTTATATAAGAAATATTTACCTATATCATGTGACAGCTGTTTAACATTAAAAATATTTACCTATTTGTTTAATGTGATAGCTGTTTAACATTAGAAATATTTACCTGTATCATGTGACAGCTGTTTAACATTAAAAATATTTACCTATATGTATAATGTGACAGCTGTTTAATGATAGAAATATTTACCTATATGTATAATGTGACAGCTGTTTAATGATAGAATTATTTACCTACGTGTATAATGTGACAGCTGTTTAATGATAGAATTATTTACCTATATGTATAATGTGACAGCTGTTTAATGATAGAAATATTTACCTATATGTATAATGTGACAGCTGTTTAATGATAAAAATATTTACCTATGTGTGTAATGTGACAGCTGTTTAATGATAAAAATATTTACCTATATGTATAATGTGACAGCTGTTTAATGATAGAAATATTTACCTGTATCATGTGACCACAACTGTTTAGATGATAGAAATATTTACCTATATGTATAATGTGACAGCTGTTTAATGATAGAAATATTTACCTGTATCATGTGACAGCTGTTTAATGATAGAAATATTTACCTGTATCATGTGACAGCTGTTTAATGATAGAAATATTTACCTATGTGTATAATGTGACAGCTGTTTAATGATAGAAATATTTACCTATGTGTATAATGTGACAGCTGTTTAATGATAGAAATATTTACCTATGTGTATAATGTGACCAGAACTATTTAACATGAGGTTGCCGTTATGCCGATCCTTCAGCTGAAGTAGAAAGCTCACAATGCTGTAGGCTGCCATACTGATGATAAAGTTTCTTCTAGCCTGAAAAACGTAGAAAAATTTGTATATTGATATGATGTCTTAAATCTTACACTGGAATATATTTTAAGTTTTAACTGAATATAGAATGCACTTGTCAATAGGTGAATATGTAAACATTACCTTGTTAGTTTTGTAGACTTGTTTTGTGTGTTGTGAAATATATCAATGGTTTGAGATCTATAAATTATTATATCATAATTATAAGATGATATGAGCAAAGAAGACTTATCACTAATGAAAAATATTAAAGATTTTAAACTGAGTATAGTATAGTCACTAATTATAAATATTAAAGATTTTAAACTGAGTATTGTAGAGTTACTAATTATAAATATTAAAGATTTTAAACTGAGTATTGTTGAGTCACTAATTATAAATATTAAAGATTTTAAACTGAGTATAGTATAGTCACTCATTATAAATATTAAAGATTTTAAACTGAGTATTGTAGAGTTACTAATTATAAATATTAAAGATTTTAAACTGAGTATTGTTGAGTCACTAATTATAAATATTAAAGATTTTAAACTGAGTATAGTATAGTCACTAATTATAAATATTAAAGATTTTAAACTGAGTATAGTATAGTCACTAATTATAAATATTAAAGATTTTAAACTGAGTATAGTATAGTCACTAATTATAAATATTAAAGATTTTAAACTGAGTATTGTAGAGTCACTAATTATAAATATTAAAGATTTTAAACTGAGTATTGCAGAGTTACTAATTATAAATATTAAAGATTTTAAACTGAGTATTGTAGAGTCACTAATTATAAATATTAAAGATTTTAAACTGAGTATAGTATAGTCACTAATTATAAATATTAAAGATTTTAAACTGAGTATTGTAGAGTCACTAATTATAAATATTAAAGATTTTAAACTGAGTATTGCAGAGTTACTAATTATAAATATTAAAGATTTTAAACTGAGTATTGTAGAGTCACTAATTATAAGTATTAAAGATTTTAAACTGAGTATTGTTGAGTCACTAATTATAAATATTAAAGATTTTAAACTGAGTATTGTTGAGTCACTAATTATAAATATTAAAGATTTTAAACTGAGTATTGTAGAGTCACTAATTATAAATATTAAAGATTTTACACTGAGTATTGTAGAGTCACTAATTATAAGTATTAAAGATTTTAAACTGAGTATTGTAGAGTCACTAATTATAAATATTAAAGATTTTAAACTGAGTATTGTTGAGTCACTAATTATAAATATTAAAGATTTTAAACTGAGTATTGTAGAGTCACTAATTATAAATATTAAAGATTTTAAACTGAGTATTGTTGAGTCACTAATTATAAATATTAAAGATTTTAAACTGAGTATTGTAGAGTCACTAATTATAAATATTAAAGATTTTAAACTGAGTATTGCAGAGTTACTAATTATAAATATTAAAGATTTTAAACTGAGTATTGTAGAGTCACTAATTATAAGTATTAAAGATTTTAAACTGAGTATAGTATAGTCACTAATTATAAATATTAAAGATTTTAAACTGAGTATTGTAGAGTCACTAATTATAAGTATTAAAGATTTTAAACTGAGTATTGTAGAGTCACTAATTATAAATATTAAAGATTTTAAACTGAGTATTGTAGAGTCACTAATTATAAATATTAAAGATTTTAAACTGAGTATAGTATAGTCACTAATTATAAATATTAAAGATTTTAAACTGAGTATTGTAGAGTCACTAATTATAAGTATTAAAGATTTTAAACTGAGTATAGTATAGTCACTAATTATAAATATTAAAGATTTTAAACTGAGTATTGTAGAGTCACTAATTATAAGTATTAAAGATTTTAAACTGAGTATAGTATAGTCACTAATTATAAATATTAAAGATTTTAAACTGAGTATTGTAGAGTCACTAATTATAAATATTAAAGATTTTAAACTGAGTATAGTATAGTCACTAATTATAAATATTAAAGATTTTAAACTGAGTATTGTAGAGTCACTAATTATAAGTATTAAAGATTTTAAACTGAGTATAGTATAGTCACTAATTATAAATATTAAAGATTTTAAACTGAGTATTGTAGAGTCACTAATTATAAGTATTAAAGATTTTAAACTGAGTATTGTAGAGTCACTAATTATAAATATTAAAGATTTTAAACTGAGTATTGTAGAGTCACTAATTATAAATATTAAAGTTTTTAAACTGAGTATCGAAGAGCATCTGCTTCCTACTTACTGTCTGGAAGTCATGAGTATCCTCATCCCCGTAAGTCTGTAAGAAGTAGTTATACATACTGATGTCTGTCTGTTTCCCAATCTCGTCACGAGACTTACTATCTGGTACACATTCTATCACCCCTTTCTACAACAGACAAATCAGTGAATCCATCTTCAACAAACAATAATGCCAGTTCTAAAAAGTTGTATAGAATCTCTAGTCTGATCTTACACCGAACATACATCCCTGTTTCAGAGATGTGATATTATCCAATTTTAATTACATTAAACCAAAACTTGTTTAATAGGAAATTCTAAGATATGAATGAGAGACACAAAATGACACTAATTAATACATAACTTTAATGCAACAAGTATAACTGACTCACATTAATCAGCAAAAATTTAACGAAAATGAAAAATATTGAGTATCAGGCGCACAGTTCACTAGATACAAGACAGGCATATCAACTCATCAGAGATTTAGACGATACAAGATGTAGAGTAAAAGTTTAGACAGACAGAAATTCTGATACCAGTGTGTCTCCCAAAGAGAAATATCAATACATTACACACTATATAGGAGTGACAACAAAACACTGTTCACTATCTATGATAATAACATAGTTACTTAAATTGATCTGGACAGAAGATGGTGTAATAATGACTCCATCTTATTAGTTTAAACCTGGTGTTGGTGAGACTGGTTTCATCAGGGGAGATAACTTACTCCTGGCGAGGTGGCCACCACTCTATATGGTACAAGATATAGCTCTAATCCTGTCTGCTCAAAGATATTCTTGAACATCGCAATCACCTGGAGGGCCAACATATCCTAGGAATAAATGAACAACTATCAGCTTTGATACCTTTAGACCTAGTTTTTAGTTTAGTATAGGAATATAATTATGATAAATTATGAATTTATCATTTTGACATGTCTTATAATGGTATCAGTGATAAAATATTTGCAGGTATGTTTCATGGATGGTCAATTTACAAATACAAATTTTTTTGTATTATTAAACCAGGAAATTTTCATTTTTTTTATTAACATTAACGTAAATGAGATTAACGTATCTAATTTGGTTTCTTTAGTTAGTCTATACCTGTCTGACATCATCGCCAACTTTAAAGATGGCCGCCTGCCACACAAGATCTTGTTCTTGGATGGCTAGGTTGGAGGTGTCACTCATTCCAAGGTTTTCTAATTCTGTGATTCCACATTTCTTCACACCAAAACGAGCCAAGAATGGGGCCTTTGCAGCACTACAGACAAATTGATCAGGTTTAACCCTTAGGAAATTGTTGACAGCTTTGTGAAATTCATGTCAATGCACCAACAAATACAAGTTAATCTAAACACATAAGATTTTGCATTTTACACTGAAGTATTGAATACCACTTACTTGTTATTATTTTTCTGCTTTGGTTTAAATGTTTAATATCCAAAACAATTTCTGATATTTGAGTTTCAGTTGAAATATCAAGCAGCTGAGATGAGCAGGAAAACTTACCTCTGCATGGGTGTTCCGGACTTATAATCAATTTTAGCTACAATGGCTTCCGGGTTTGAAGGCAGGTAACATCCTGTAAATATAATCCAAGAAGATATTCTCTGTAAGATACTTCCATCGAACAGTTATCTTAGTCCCAAATGTTGATAAATAGTAAATACTACTAAGTACTAGTATATTTATTATTATTTCAAAATTAATAAACATATCAAAACTACCTGTCATAGTACATTTATAACATCACTTTAATGTAACATTTTGACATCATTTCAACATATTTTTTTTATATTATTCAAATGTTAAAAAAAGGTTATCTATGTTGAAATAACATTAGTTTTCATGCTTGTTCACATAATTTAAGCAATAAGAATTTTATTTATTATTGATTTAAAATAATGTAAATTAAATGTTATCAACATTATGAAAAACTGATATTGCATCATGTGACAAAAACCCCAAAGTATTCCTCAAAACTCTCCTACAAGACCAGATGAATTATACACATCAATAAACTCTCCTACAAGACCAGATGAATTATACACATCAATAAACTCTCCTACAAGACCAGATGAATTATACACATCAATAAACTCTCCTACAAGACCAGATGAATTATACACACAATAAACATCAGATGAAATACACATCAATAAACTCTCCTACAAGACCAGATGAATTATACACATCAATAAACTCTCCTACAAGACCAGATGAATTATACACATCAATAAACTCTCCTACAAGACCAGATGAATTATACACATCAATAAACTCTCCTACAAGACCAGATGAATTATACACATCAATAAACTCTCCTACAAGACCAGATGAATTATACACATCAATAAACTCTCCTACAAGACCAGATGAATTATACACATCAATAAACTCTCCTACAAGACCAGATGAATTATACACATCAATAAACTCTCCTACAAGACCAGATGAATTATACACATCAATAAACTCTCCTACAAGACCAGATGAATTATACACATCAATAAACTCTCCTACAAGACCAGATGAATTATATACATCAATATAAAAGCCTAAAGCTATTCCAGTAAAACATCCACTTGACTCCAAAATAAATCACTTTTATACCTAGTTCATTTTTCAACTCCTAGGAAAGGTATCTATTAAATTCTATAAGGGGTACATCTGGGATAGATATTATACTGGAATAATCCAGACAAGACATTATTGCTGATATAGACAATAGTTACCTGGCTGTAGCTTAATTTTGCTGAGTTCCTCCAAACAGGCCTTCTTCCTCTCAGGTCCTTTTGGGAAAGGTCTGAATACAAAATGTCAAATTAATGATTTTTTCCTTAATACCCTAGACAGGTCTATCAGGATTTAAAGGGGTGAAATCTTTTGGGGGTGGGTTACCTTCTACGATGCATAAGCATTATGTTAATGGTAGTTCAATATATCCTGTCATATCAACACTTCCTATCTGGAAGGGTTTGAAACTAAGAGTATCATAGTCAAACAATCCATTAGAAACGAACACTAGGAACTCAGTTAAGAGGGATCTTAGTGTCAACCATTGTTTGATCTATATTCATTTCTTTGAAATTAGATCTTTTCCCTCTTTTCTCATCCATTTTTCCTCATTTTTATATGAAAATTAAAAATTCCTCTCATGAAATGATAATGATTTTAAACTCTCAAACACAAGACAGTTGCATGTTGACCATTTTGTTTTCCCCATCAGTCCTACTTTTCATTACAAACATTAATACTTCTGCCACTGGTTTATTGATTTTTACCTTTATCTCTAGAGAAGTTAATTCATCAGGTGTCAGATAACACATCTCATATCTATTCTTCTGTAGATTCAGAAGTCTTATTTACAAGTCTCTTACTAAAAGTCAGGGGTGGGCTTATCTCCTGACAATGACATAGCATTTAATGGAAAGTAAAACACAGTTAGACCAATAAACAAGTTCTCCTGAGTAAATTGCATACTGCCATCTAATGTATCAACTATTTTATGATTAACAGTCTTTCTATCATATACATGTGACCCAATTGATATCAGAGCTTACTTGATGGTTCCTGAGATGGAAGTAATTTTTCCAAAGAAGTCAAATTCTCTCTCATAGAACATGAGAGCTGGTCCTGACAGTGATCTTTTGATGGCATCCATAAGTCTCTCCAGGGTGTCACCAATCTCCTCTGGAAACATCATGTAACACATTTTATTACACTGCATATAACACATAATCCATCAAAGTTTTGGAGGATTTAAAAATTGTTGTTTAATATTAAACTACATATTAAATAATATCAATAAACATTAGGAGTGACTGAAAACAATAACTTTTCATCATCTTTATTTGACAAGTGAACGCATTGCAAATTTCTATTTATAAAATTTGTATACAAGAAATCAAAACACATTACAAAAACAAGAATGATCAAATCATAAAATGGCAGGAAGATGACAATAGAAGATACAATGTGTGGGAGGATGACAATAGAAGCTACAATGTGTGGGAGGATGACAATAGAAGCTACCATGTGTGGGAGGATGACAATAGAAGATACCATGTGTGGGAGGATGACAAGATAATAGAAATGATGTGTGGGAGGATGACAAGATAATAGAAATGATGTGTGGGAGGATGACAATATGATGTGTGGGAGGATGACAATAGAAGATACAATGTGTGGGAGGATGACAATAGAAGACACAATGTGTGGGAGGATGACAATAGAAGCTACAATGTGTGGGAGGATGACAATAGAAGATACAATGTGTGGGAGGATGACAATAGAAGATACAATGTGTGGGAGGATGACAATAGAAGATACAATGTGTGGGAGGATGACAATAGAAGATACAATGTGTGGGAGGATGACAATAGAAGATACCATGTGTGGGAGGATGACAATAGAAGATACCATGTGTGGGAGGATGACAATAGAAGATACCATGTGTGGGAGGATGACAATAGAAGATACAATGTGTGGGAGGATGACAATAGAAGCTACCATGTGTGGGAGGATGACAATAGAAGATACCATGTGTGGGAGGATGACAAGATAATAGAAATGATGTGTGGGAGGATGACAATAGAAGATACCATGTGTGGGAGGATGACAATAGAAGATACAATGTGTGGGAGGATGACAATAGAAGATACAATGTGTGGGAGGATGACAATAGAAGATACAATGTGTGGGAGGATGACAATAGAAGATATAATGTGTTGGAGGATGACAATGTGTGTGGAGGATGACAATAGAAGATACCATGTGTGGGAGGATAACAATAGAAGATACCATGTGTGGGAGGATGACAATAGAAGATACCATGTGTGGGAGGATGACAATAGAAGATATAATGTGTTGGAGGATGACAATAGAAGATACCATGTGTGGGAGGATGACAATAGAAGATACCATGTGTGGAGGATGACAATAGAAGATACCATGTGTGGGAGGATAACAATAGAAGATACCATGTGTGGGAGGATGACAATAGAAGATATAATGTGTGGGAGGATGACAATAGCAGATACCATGTGTGGGAGGATGACAATAGAAGATACCATGTGTGGGAGGATAACAATAGAAGATACCATGTGTGGGAGGATAACAATAAAAGATACCATGTGTGGGACATGTGTGGGAGGATGACAATAGAAGATACCATGTGTGGGAGGATGACAATAGAAGATATAATGTGTGGGAGGATGACAATAGAAGATACCATGTGTGGGAGGATAACAATAGAAGATACCATGTGTGGGAGGATGACAATAGAAGATACCATGTGTGGGAGGATGACAATAGAAGATATAATGTGTGGGAGGATGACAATAGAAGATACAATGTGTGGGAGGATGACAATAGAAGATACCATGTGTGGAGGATGACAATAGAAGATACCATGTGTGGGAGGATAACAATAGAAGATACCATGTGTGGAGGATGACAATAGAAGATACCATGTGTGGAGGATGACAATAGAAGATACCATGTGTGGGAGGATAACAATAGAAGATACCATGTGTGGGAGGATGACAATAGAAGATATAATGTGTGGGAGGATGACAATAGAAGATACCATGTGTGGGAGGATGACAATAGAAGATATAATGTGTGGGAGGATGACAATAGAAGATATAATGTGTGGGAGGATGACAATAGAAGATACCATGTGTGGGAGGATGACAATAGAAGATACAATGTGTGGGAGGATGACAATAGAAGATACAATGTGTGGGAGGATGACAATAGAAGATACAATGTGTGGGAGGATGACAATAGAAGATACAATGTGTGGGAGGATGACAATATAGAAGAAATGATGTGCCTCAGGTCTAACACCTTTAATCTCTCAATACAAATACTTATCATTATTATTTAAATTCACAAAAAAATATATTTTTACATGCTACTGAGCTGATTCTATACAGTTCATACAAAACTTGAGCACACAGAAAGGAAAAATATCTTACCATCTTTCTCCTGTCCATCCTCATCTCGATATACATTTGTCTTCATGTTCCATAGCAGCTGGTGAGCCAGTAATTGAGAGTGTTTAGATGCCCACAGAATAAAATCTGCCATGTATCCCATCTGTAACATAGCAAATCTCTTAATGTTAGAACTTTTTCAAGGCTGGTAGATTGCTCCAATTTTTTATGCTTTTCATCAAATTTACCTATACACAATAAGCTAGATCATTTGGAGTTTATGTGTTGTTTTTATCTTTCAAAAACATCTCACAAGAAAAACATGTACAGCTCTAAAAGAAATAAAGACAGATAGTTGGGTAAGTTCAACAAATATATTTCTCCACCAAGTAAGTTTTATTGATGTATTATGACACCATGATGTGTGTTGGAATCTGTTTACTTACCGTATCATATCTAACAGCTTGGACAAGCTGGGGAATGTAGAAAAGCAGAGCTTCCTGCAACAACAAGTAAATACTAATAACAATCATCAATAACCAGAAATGGCTTACCTGCCATATGAAACCGTCAAACAGATTAGTCCAGTCTCGTAAAATAAAGATACAAAAAAGATTAAAAGCTTCGACTATATATTTATTGTTCATTAACATTAAACTCGACTGATGGGTTATAACAGCTGTGGGTCTTGACTAGACTACAGTTAGACTCAGCTGACAGGAAACAAGATGTGTTTATGAAACATTATGCCTTCAAATGAATCAAAATTCTGAGGTGGGACATTAAAACTTTACTGTGAAAGTTGTGTGCTAATTGCATGCACATTTTGTGAAACACTTATGTCTTCATTGTTGTTATGACTTTTTTGTACTTTCAACTGTTGGTCAAAGGTCACGATCAAGGTACCACCAGAAAGGTCTTGTCACAAGGAACGCACGTGCCAAATATGTAAGCCTTACCTCTTATAACAAGGTAATCAAAAGGAAAACAGATTCAGTCCTGATTAGGTGACAAACTCAGATTGTGAATAAACAAATACTGGAAAAATATGATTTTTCACATAAAGCAAGAATACAAAACCATTTTTTTGTCAGGAAATCTGACGTTGATCCTTTGTGATCTGTTACAAAACTTTAGATCTTTCCATCTTATAATTCATGTTTAATATTTCATTTAATGTGAAACAAGACAAAATTTTTAATTTGTTCATATCTCCCCACCTGAACTTCATGTGCAATGATATTAGTGCACTGTAATACTGTGTAGACTGAAGATACCTACCGGAGGATGTGACCTAAGTGCCCTGACAGCATACTGAGCTGTGATTGGGTGGGGCGGGTACTGACGTGAGAAATAAGACAGAGCCACAACTGGAGATACCACAGACCAGGTCAACATATGACTTAGCTGCAAATATAAAAGAGTGGATTATCTATCAAATGTGTCACAGCCATTAAGTAGTGGTATTTTCTATAATTAAATCATTATTTTGTTATGTATGTAAGTAAATATTTAAACACTTCAAACATGTGGTCTGGAAATAGTCTTCAATACCATATCTAGCTAGCAAAATAATTTAACCTTTGAACCCTTTCTATAATATCATCCTACATAATATCAAATTTTTGAAATAATTCTTTCATTATTTTATTTGAAACTAATACTGTTTTGAATTGAATTCTGTCACTTTGAACAAAGAAACTATTTGATACTGTGGCAAAATCATGCCCATCATTTAACAAGAGAACAGATGTTCAATCATATCAAAGACACCTGTTAAAATGAACAACTTGTCAAATTTTGACAGTGCCATATAAGGCATGTCAACAGTAACAAGACACATAGAAGAATGGTCAAATACAGGAACTGTTGTATCTCATTACCTGGTCAGTGCATACTATAAAATCAGGTATTTTCATGGACTTCCAATTTCAAGGTTTTTTAATTCATCTTTTATGGACATTTGATCTTACATGTAGCAAACTTCTAAAACATCAATTAGTACTCATTTTCATAACTGATTCATGATCAGGTGCATCTGTTGTCAATTAAGAGAAACCATAAAAACAGGAAACCAGCAGAAATAAACCCCCAATAAGTAAACAATTTTACAGGCTGTCACTGTCTACATAGATATGTATAGTCTCTATACTGGGCCACCAACCTCAGGAGAATCTGCCTCCACACTCTCCGGAGTAACAAGGAAACGGATGGCTGAAGGGATGTGGCTCACCACCCCTGGATTCAGTCGAACTAATCTAATCACTTCCTTCACCAGAGCCTCAGACTTCTTGATCCTTTAAATACAATTTTTAATTCTTTAAAATTTGTATTGATGAATAGTTATTTTTTTTGTTAATCAGTAAAGTAAGCCATAAAGTGTGTATGCTCTTTCATCCACAGATAACTTTTCTCAATGAATACCATGTGGTGTTAGGTGACATAGAGGTAGCACTCTGGCCTTTCACCTTGATATCTATTCCTGGAATTTTAATCATGCAAGTATATTCTTAACAAACAATAAGCATTGTCAACCAACCAATGATAGCACAAGTCTTCATAAGCTGTACAAAAAGAAAAAGAAAAGAAAAAAAAAATATTCCTTGAATTTGACTGGTCAGAACAAAATCACTTTAACAGTTAAACCTATTGACAGAACACCAGAAAGAAACCGAAAATTCCCCTGAATGAACATTTTTTTTTTCATTTTGGTTCAGAACCTAACTATCAGACATCTTTCTTTAACTTGGCATTTAGTAAATCTACAAAACAAATTTTAAAATTTGACATAATGATGACATCATTGAAACATTTTTATACTTAAAAGATATGGCATTTTATATAACATTCATCCCCACAGCAAAGAGTTACCTAGAAGGGAGATAAACTGCCAAGGTCGGTGAAAGTTCCCAGGATGCCCTGACTTGCTCCCGCCACACTTTCTCACTGACTGCCTGGCTTCTCCAGATAGCAATCTTGTCCTCGTCTGGAACTTTAAGGTCTGGAGACTCCAACGGGTTGTGCCAGGTGATAAATTCCTCCAGTGCATAACCCTGAAGTGTATAGGCAGGGTGAATAATCAACAGTCACTAGAGAATATCCTGAAGTTTGTAGTGAGGGTGAATATTCAAGTCACTAGAGAATATCCTGAAGTTTGTAGGGAGGGTGAATAATTAACAGTCACTAGAGAGTTCACTGAAGTGTATAGGCAGGGTGAATAATCAACAGTCACTAGAGAATATCCTGAAGTTTGTAGGGAGGGTGAATAATTACCAGTCACTAGAGAATATCCTGAAGTTTGTAGGGAGGGTGAATAATTAACAGTCACTAGAGAGTTCCCTGAAGTGTATAGGCAGGGTGAATAATCAACAGTCACTAGAGAATATCGTGAAGTTTGTAGGGAGGGTGAATAATTAACAGTCACTAGAGAGTTCCCTGAAGTGTATAGGCAGGGTGAATAATTACCAGTCACTAGAGAATATCCTGAAGTGTATAGGCAGGGTGAATAATCAACAGTCACTAGAGAGCTCCCTGAAGTTTGTAGGGAGGGTGAATAATTAACAGTCACTAGAGAGCTCCCTGAAGTTTGTAGGGAGGGTGAATAATTAACAGTCACTAGAGAGCTCCCTGAAGTTTGTAGGGAGGGTGAAAAATCAACAGTCACTAGAGAATATCCTGAAGTTTGTAGGGAGGGTGAATAATCAACAGTCACTAGAGAGGTCCCTGAAGTTTGTAGGGAGGGTGAATAATTAACAGTCACTAGAGAGCTCCCTGAAGTTTGTAGGGAGGGTGAATAATTAACAGTCACTAGAGAATATCCTGAAGTTTGTAGGGAGGGTGAATAATTAACAGTCACTAGAGAGTTCCCTGAAGTGTATAGGCAGGGTGAATAATTACCAGTCACTAGAGAATATCCTGAAGTGTATAGGCAGGGTGAATAATCAACAGTCACTAGAGAGCTCCCTGAAGTTTGTAGGGAGGGTGAATAATTAACTAGAGAATAGTCACTAGAGAGCTCCCTGAAGTTTGTAGGGAGGGTGAATAATTAACAGTCACTAGAGAGCTCCCTGAAGTTTGTAGGGAGGGTGAAAAATCAACAGTCACTAGAGAATATCCTGAAGTTTGTAGGGAGGGTGAATAATCAACAGTCACTAGAGAGGTCCCTGAAGTTTGTAGGGAGGGTGAATAATTAACAGTCACTAGAGAGCTCCCTGAAGTTTGTAGGGAGGGTGAATAATTAACAGTCACTAGAGAGGTCCCTGAAGTTTGTAGGGAGGGTGAATAATTAACAGTCACTAGAGAATATCCTGAAGTTTGTAGGGAGGGTGAATAATTAACAGTCACTAGAGAGCTCCCTGAAGTTTGTAGGGAGGGTGAATAATTAACAGTCACTAGAGAGGTCCCTGAAGTTTGTAGGGAGGGTGAATAATTAACAGTCACTAGAGAATATCCTGAAGTTTGTAGGGAGGATGAATAATTAACAGTCACTAGAGAGGTCCCTGAAGTTTGTAGGGAGGGTGAATAATTAACAGTCACTAGAGAGGTCCCTGAAGTTTGTAGGGAGGGTGAATAATCAACAGTCACTAGAGAGCTCCCTGAAGTTTGTAGGGAGGGTGAATAATTAACAGTCACTAGAGAATATCCTGAAGTTTGTAGGGAGGATGAATAATTAACAGTCACTAGAGAATATCCTGAAGTTTGTAGGGAGGGTGAATAATTAACAGTCACTAGAGAGGTCCCTGAAGTTTGTAGGGAGGATGAATAATTAACAGTCACTAGAGAGGTCCCTGAAGTTTGTAGGGAGGGTGAATAATCAACAGTCACTAGAGAATATCCTGAAGTTTGTAGGGAGGGTGAATAATCAACAGTCACTAGAGAGGTCCCTGAAGTTTGTAGGGAGGGTGAATAATTAACAGTCACTAGAGAGCTCCCTGAAGTTTGTAGGGAGGGTGAATAATTAACAGTCACTAGAGAATATCCTGAAGTTTGTAGGGAGGGTGAATAATTAACAGTCACTAGAGAGTTCCCTGAAGTGTATAGGCAGGGTGAATAATTACCAGTCACTAGAGAATATCCTGAAGTGTATAGGCAGGGTGAATAATCAACAGTCACTAGAGAGCTCCCTGAAGTTTGTAGGGAGGGTGAATAATCAACAGTCACTAGAGAGCTCCCTGAAGTTTGTAGGGAGGATGAATAATTAACAGTCACTAGAGAGCTCCCTGAAGTTTGTAGGGAGGGTGAAAAATCAACAGCTCCCTGAAGTGTATAGGCAGGGTGAATAATCAACAGTCACTAGAGAGGTCCCTGAAGTGTATAGGCAGGGTGAATAATTAACAGTCACTAGAGAGGTCCCTGAAGTTTGTAGGGAGGGTGAATAATTAACAGTCACTAGAGAGGTCCCTGAAGTTTGTAGGGAGGGTGAATAATTAACAGTCACTAGAGAATATCCTGAAGTTTGTAGGGAGGGTGAATAATTAACAGTCACTAGAGAGCTCCCTGAAGTTTGTAGGGAGGGTGAATAATTAACAGTCACTAGATAATATCCTAAAGTTTGTAGGGAGGGTGAATAATTAACAGTCACTAGTGAATATCCTGAAGTTTGTAGGGAGGGTGAATAATCAACAGTCACTAGAGAATATCCTGAAGTTTGTAGGGAGGGTGAATAATCAACAGTCACTAGAGAATATCCTGAAGTGTATAGGGAGGGTGAATAATTAACAGTCACTAGAGAATATCCTGAAGTTTGTAGGGAGGGTGAATAATTAACAGTCACTAGAGAGCTCCCTGAAGTTTGTAGGGAGGGTGAATAATTAACAGTCACTAGAGAATATCCTAAAGTTTGTAGGGAGGGTGAATAATTAACAGTCACTAGAGAATATCCTGAAGTGTATAGGCAGGGTGAATAATCAACAGTCACTAGAGAGGTCCCTGAAGTTTGTAGGGAGGGTGAATAATTAACAGTCACTAGAGAATATCCTGAAGTGTGTAGGGAGGGTGAATAATTAACAGTCACTAGAGAATATCCTGAAGTGTATAGGGAGGGTGAATAATTAACAGTCACTAGAGGGCTCCCTTCAGTTTGTAGGGAGGATGAATAATTAATAGTCACTAGAGGGTGAAATGATAATGCTATATGAATCTCCACATCACCTGTAACTCAAAGACAAGTCCTGAAAGAAATATAACATCTATGTGCCAGTACAGATCATTAGTTGTCATTTAATACTGGAAGTATAACTGTCCAGATTATAGGGTTTCACAAAAAGTCCTAGTGTTGTAGAAATGTCAATCATAACTAAGACCATGTGACTGTTATGTGGTACATGTAATACTGGCCTATAAGTATACAGAGCTGCTCCTCCAGTACAAGACTAAAAGGTTATAATTATAAGCACTACAACCTTCAGAAACTTACAAAAAAAAAAAAAAAAAAATATCTAAGCTAGATTTTTTCCTGGACTTTACCACCTTTCTTTGTATTATATGAGGTCTTAGTCCCATACAGGTCATCTGGAAGTGAGAAACACACGGTTTATTTATTTTTATTCATTTTAACGGGTTTTACGTCCACTGTCACGAAACACACGGTCAGGTAGGTCACTTTATATATCCTCATAAAGGGAAGTAACTCACACTGCAGCCTTAGGTATCTACAAAAACAAGATATATCATTACCACTCAATATGAACAACTTACCATCAGGGTGAGGATCAGTGTTCGTTTACGTAAATACTCCTTTATGTGACCAACTCAATATTACTCTTTTATGTGACCAACTCAATATTAACAACTTACCATCAGGGTGAGGATCAGTGTTCGTTAAATACTCCTTTATGTGACCAACTCAATATTAACAACTTACCATCAGGGTGAGGATCAGTGTTCGTTTACGTAAATACTCCTTTATGTGACCAACTCAATATTAACAACTTACCATCAGGGTGAGGATCAGTGTTTGTTTACGTAAATACTCCTTTATGTGACCAACTCAATATTAACAACTTACCATCAGGGTGAGGATCAGTGTTCGTTTACGTAAATACTCCTTTATATGACCAGAGTTTGTCCCCTGGTTTTTCCTCATACCTACGAAAAGACAGAACACAAAACTGTTACACTGTGCTATAATAGACCTTTACAATGAAGTTTATAAAGACATTGTGAAGGCAATGTTCCTGCTGAAATAATTATACTGCATAAAAATTAATAAAATGATGTGTATCAAGTGCCAACAAACATGAAATAATAGCTATTTTAAAATAAACAAAACATGAATGAAATTTGATACTTCAGTGTTTTTCTGTGTTATATTGATGTTTGTAATTCAATATTTATTGTATAATATTTATAATTAATTCTGTTTATAAATGATTTAGGATTTCATTTCCATGGTCACTAACCATAATATTCACATTTCAGCAAAATATAGTTTGAAAATATGTAAAGAGTGTTTTCAATTTTAACATTAAAACTACCAAATAGATTTTTTTTTTCAATTTCCAATACGTTGCAAAAGTTTAAAAAGATTTCTTATTCCATGCAGAAAAAAAAATGCAAAATTTTAACATTTTCACAGGATGAAAATGTCTTCATTAAAAATGCATTCAACATGCAGTTAATAAGAAAAGATAAAAGGACATTCATTCTTAGCAAAAAAAGATATTCCTATTGTTCATAAAATATTGTTCTTGGTAGAAGAAATATTCCGAACTGTACATTGTACTTAGAAAAAAAAATACACTAAATGTACTTTGTATTTATCAAAATTAAAGTACATAATGCCTAGCTAATCTTATCATACTACAGATGCCTAGCTGTACATAGTTCTTATTAAGATAATGCTGTCATTGGCTGGGATCTATTTCAACAGATTCCTGCCATCAATAACTGTATAACTGACATACAACTTAATTATATTGTAGGATGAAATGAAGCAACAGATTTGCATGTAGACAATACATGACATGAAATGTGACAATGGCTGGTTTTAATCATTACAACTTCCAAACCAAATCTCAAAAAATTTAAGTCATCTCCAGAGTTTAATTTTCACATGAAATTCACTAACAGTACTCAGAGGTGTTTTAATATTGAAAAAATACAATCACAACGTTTCAAATCCAGCAACTGGTATCCATGTTTAGTGCTTATTCAATGTGAGTCTTTTACTGAAAAGAAAAATGTTTAATTAAGTTTTAATCTGAAGCAGTTACAATAAATTTCAACATAATTATCAAAGAAAATGAAGAAGAACAAATAAGACGAAGCAAGATAACATTCAACTCATGCTAGTACAAGTTTTGTTTTGGTAAATTAATTGTCTGCCATGTTAGTTTGTCATAGAAGGTAATTATTAGAAAATGTATTCGTCAACATTTTGAAGTAAGGCTCGTAGACGAGGTAAGCTTTGAATCATGTATATAAAAAGTTACCTTTAGGAGGAGAGAAAAATTTCCCTGTGTAGTTAGAATTTTCTGTTAACATGTTTAACAAATAGTTCATTTCATACTATAAAGTAGGCAAGCAAATGTAATAAGGCTTATGCATTATAAGATTTTCTAAAGTTTCGAAACTTTCATATCCACAATATCATTTCAGCTGTCCTTGATTCTTCCTTTGAATATTAAGACAACTCAGTTTCCTTTTAATCAATCTAATATTGAATTAAAAAAGTGGAACATCTTCTGTTCTGGATACAAGAAACCATTACAGACATGTAATGCCATGGTTCTAAGCCTTATTTATATTTCAAACCAAGGTAATTATTTCCTTATTAATCAAGTAATACTCAATTCCATTTTTTATTTTTTTTTCCTTATTGCAATATCAGCTAGCTAACCTTTCATGCGAACAAAATGCAATTAATTTGGACATTTACTATTGGCAATATGTTAAATCTAGTCTTAATTATTTTTCAATATATGTATCTGACATAAAAGAATTAAAGAATTTTTATCTTTTTTAAATATTCTTCAGTCCCTGATCAGATACAAGTATCAGTCACAAAAGCATCAAAGCGGATGTTATTTAAATCTATTAGGTGACTGTTAACCAGTTTCCGCTAATGCAGCTCTCCTATTCCATAAATAGTATAAATCCTATCATCTATTATGTCATAAACAGCTATATAGTGATTACAGCTAGAAGTTATTGTTAACGTAATAGACAATAGCATGTATATTATCTTTAGAATAGGAGAGTCACATTTCTAGAACTTCAGGGATAAGAAAATTGTATGAAACTAGTATCCACCCACACCACGCACAGTGTTAGCTCTATTACCTGATTTCTCTGATATCTAAAATTCTTCTATTTACCAAATATGCATGTGATATACCATTCAATTTCTTTTTTGTTTTTTTTTGTTTTTTGTTTTGTTTTGTTTGTTTGTTTGTTTTATATATATCAGTTCTGATATACCGTAACATTTTTCTTCTATCTTTTAATATACATGATACGCTGAAACATTTTTCCTTTCTTTTTTTTTTTTCACATATACATTTGATATACCATCCTATTTTCTGATTGCCCTGGTAATCAATTAATCATGTAAATAAAGAGATTAGACACATTAGCAATGGGAGATATAAGATCCATGCATATAAATAAGTACTTTATAACAGTTATCATACAGTAAAATTAAGAAAAATATTCTCTATGACACTAGATAATTACACATAGCTGAAGGATAGGACGGTTGTGGTCCAATGGACAGGCCTGAAAGCAGAAAGTCAGGTCTTGTGTGAAAGCGGTATATCTACATAATATGAACTCAATTCAATTATCTTGTAATTGCTTAGTCTAAAAAGAGAAAAAAAACTATTCTCAAAATAAATTCAACTTTAAAAAAATAATTTTATATGAATCCAGAGTATCACAGTTAAATGACATCAGGGTAAAGAAGAGAGAGATTAGGTTTGAATAGATGACATCAATGATGTTTGAAAGAGATTCCCTAGGTAATTATTCTAGCCTCCCTTCCCCTGGGGATTTGTCATTAGCCTCCCTTCCCCTGGGGATTTGTCATTAGCCTCCCTTCCCCTGGGGATTTGTCAATGTTCTGAACCCACGTATTAATTGAAATTCTGATAAAATATCTATATATAGTTGTCTACTTTTCTCCCATCTCTTACACACACATTTGATAAATACAATATTGATCTTAGCAACTGCAATGCTGAATTTAACACAATTTCTATATAGCATACATATAAAGTAAAGCCATATTTGAAAAGATTAGAAAAAAGGACTAAAACGTTCCAATGTATACATCACAAGCTAGCATAATAATTAATTTTAATTATAAGATGAATCAGTTGCTGACAGCAAAATTGTAAAGAGCAGTAAAGCAACATTATGATGGGCTAATGATGGTAATATCATAATATAACGTTGACATCTCATCGTGATATCATAATGACACAAAGACGAGGTAGAGTTATCCTACATGGATGTCCCACTTGTGAAACATTATCTTGTGTAGGCAGAGGTCACAGGGAAAACAAGTGATAAAAACATTAAAATACCAGTGATATAAAGTCAGTGACATCAACCCTGAACAACTTCAGTAGTGATGCATGACTGAACACATTCCGTCTTTGTGATACACATGATCAAACACATTCCATTGTAATACACATGATCGAACCCATTCTATTGTTATATACATGAATGAACACATTCTGTTGTAATACACATGACTTCACTTGTTTTGTTAAAATACACATAATGAACACATTCTTTCGTGATAAATACACATGTCCTAACACATTCTATTGTGATACCCATGACTGAACATACTTTTATTGTGATACACATGACTGAACATACTTTTATTGTGGTACACATGCACAACTGAACACATTCTTTTGTAAAACACATAGCTGAATGCATTATATTGTGACACACATGACTGAACACTTTCTATTATGTAGCATACATTACTAAATATATTCTGTTGTGACACACATGACTGAACATATTCTGTTGTGACACACATGACTGAACATTTTGATTTGTAATGAACATGAATGACATGATTTATCAAGACACAAATGACTGAACATATTCTGTTGTGGCACACATGACTGATTTTCAGTTGTGACAAACACAGAACATCTGGTTGACATCTTAAAACAAAAAAAAAAACAAAAAAAAGAAAAAGAAAATATTTCAGCTGGACAGAATTTTTCTTAAGCTGACAAGGTGTACCAGGTACATTTATGCATTAGACTTTTGGCAAACATATTGCATCAATTTTCAACATAATCCTTTAATTTTTATCCACTTGTATACTTTTTTCGACCGTTCAGAAAGTCCTCCACTGCATGTATGATGACATCATCTGACTGAAAGTGGGTACCTGAGATGGCCTTTTTCAATTTTAGATGTAGATGAATGTCTGATGGAGTGAGATCAGGTGAATAAGGTGGATGCTCAATCAATTCAAAGCCACAATCGTTAATGGCTGCTATGGCAATGAGAGACTTGTGAATAGGGGCATTGTCCTGGTTGAACAAGACACTTTTGCTGAATTTTTCGCTGGGCTTGAGTTTAATATTTTCTCTAAACTTCTTAGAAGTGATGTATAATATGTGTCATTGATTGCTTGTCCTTTTTGCAGGTAATATACCATCAGAATACCATCAGCATCTCAGAAAACCATGGCTATAACCTTTCCAGCTTATAAAACAGCTTTTGTCTTCTTTGGCTGGAGTGAACAAGGGAGCTTTTGGGGTGAAATGATGGACCCACGTTTCATCCACAGCCATAAACCTCAGCAATAAATTATTAGGATCTGCCTGGTCAACCTGGTGTGCTTCTAATCAACAGTCAGAAGTCTTTGTACCCAACAGACTGATAACTTTTTCATTGCAAGAACTTCCATAAGAATGGAATGTACTCTTTCCTGTGAAATCCTGACTGTATTGGCTAAATATCTCTCTGTAACTTGCCTTTCAGCCGTAACAGTATCACAGACTTTATTGGCCATTTCTGGGGTTGTAACAGTGACAGGACATCCAGGACAGGTATCATTTACAATGCTTTGCCTGCCATGCTTAAATTCCGCCACCAACTTTTTCATA